TACTGTTGCAGGCGTTCCTCCCAGAAGTGGGTTCCCAAATCCCACGTGTCTCCATGGCAGAGCCCGGCTGCCCACCGTGACTTCCCCTCCGGGTGCTCTTTCTGTTAAGAAAGTACTAACACATAGTTGATTGTTCCTCTTACTTAACTTTGGAAGTGCGGCTCTGGGACTTCATTGAGAACCGAGAAAGCCAGCACGTCCCCAGCACCGAAGAAGTCGACATGACAGAGCTGGGGGACCTCTTCATGCACCTCTCCGGAGTCGAGTCATCAGAACCCTGAAGAGCACAGGTGCTGCACCTGCATCGTGGCCCTGCAGCCCAGACTTCCCCACCCGGGGTGTGGGAGCTGCCCCTGCTGCCTCAGCGCTCAGATGAGAGTGGGGTGGCACCTCCCCTCGGTCTCACCCACTCCATTATTACAGCCCTGGGAACAGCGAAGGATATAAAATTCCTAACAAGTATACAAAATGCTCTTCTTAGAGTTGCTCTCTTAGTTGCACTTTGAACCCCTCTGGTGACCAGCTAACACTCAGACTGTTTTTGATGATTGCTTTTAAAACATACCTGGCTTCTGTCCTTCTTGATCTTTTTCTCCCCAGAAACGGTAAACCTGCATCTGCCTCAGAAGCTGCAGATGCCTTTTTCCCACCGAGGGTTCCTCTCTGGTGAACTCCCATGTGTGCTGGGAGACGTTTTACCTCCTCGGAGCCTTTTGTGAACACAGCGATAGCACAACTCCCGTGGGGCCCTTCGAGATGATCAGCTTGTGAGCTCCCGCAACTGTCCCCAGTCAGTGGTGCTGGTGTCCCATGTGCAGCCGCAGTGAGGGTGTGGACCCTTCCCTCCTAGGAGGCCCCTGGAGCCGCAGGAAGCGCTGCGCCAGGACCCCTCTCACGTTGGCTCATGCCCGGCAGTGTGTACTGGGGGCTCGGAGCACACGTGCGCTATCCTTGCCTGTGAAACCCAGCTCTGATTTGAGGTTTCCGGCCCTGCCCCGGCAGTGGTCCTAAAAAGAAGCGAAGGTGGTGGTCTTCGACAGCTGGATGGTGACTGAAGGGTGGACATAACCTTGTGAATCAGACTATTTCTGTAAAAAGCAGTGCAGACACAAAACATTTTTAGAATTGCACTCCTTCCAGATGTGAGAAGATCTGTCATCTGCGCTGGGCGCGTTTTGCTCTGCTTTCCGAGTTGGGGTCAGTGCAGGGACACAAGGGGCACAGTGGCTTAGTCCCCCTCACCCCCAGCCGAGGCGCCCATCCACTTCTTGAGCTCTCCAGAAGGGTGACAACTACTTTCAAGGAAGGGAACAGCCATTAAACCTAAATTTAATTTATTTTATTAAAATAACATAATTGAGGAACCATTAGATAACTGTATTTTGTCAGGCGCAATAAAAACAAAATTAAAACTCAAATTGTCAAGAAAACCTGTGTTCCTTGCTTCCTTGCACACACGATGTGACGGGACAAGGCTGGCCCTATGGTCTGCCCCATGGGGGCAGCTCCTGGAAGACGATACACACACGGTGGGGGCCTGCTCCCTGCGAGGGAGGCTGTGGTGGGAGGAGAGGCCGAGCGCCGGCCAGGAAGCCATCCAGACGCCTCAGGCTGAGCGAGCACGCGGCCCCAAGTCAGGTTCCCCCCAAGTCAGGTTCCGTAGTACCACAGCAGGCCCCGGCAAGCGAGTCGCGGCAGCCCCGGGCCGTTTGGTGTGTTATGTGCAAAACTGTCAGGAGCTGCGCCAACGTCTCTGCGGGAGAGACCCTCCTGTGACAGGCGTTCCTCACAGAAGTGGGTTCCCAAATCCCACGTGTCTCCATGGCAGAGCCCGGCTGCCCACCGTGACTTCCCCTCCGGGTGCTCTTTCTGCCCTACCTACACGCGTTCAGCTGACAGCTGGGGCCCCAGCTTTTGCACTGCGGCCGGCATCCCTCGGTGCATCTGGAAGGTGAGCGCGGGGATGAGGCAGGGAGAACAGACCAGCGTCGTGATGGCCGCCTCCTCCAGGGCCAGGGTGGGTAGAAAAGAAGGCCACGTGAAGTTAAGGCCCTGTGAGTATCCAGAAGGTCCTTAGCAGCTCTCTGGAAACCTGCTCTGCCTCCGTAGGAAGCGGGCAGAAAGCAGAGCCGGCTGGCTTCCTCCCTGGCATCTGAGCGCAGGTGCACGGTCTGCTAGAAGACAGGCAGCCTCGGGGACGTGGTCAGCGTGCAGGCGTTGATGTCCTCAGTGTGGGCTGCCCGGTGCAGGGATGGCTCAGAAGCACTCCGGTTGATTTTCGGTAGAGAGTGTTGGAGCAGCTCGATGGAAGACAGGATCTAAAGCAAAGCCACGGAGTGGTCTCAGCCAGGGCAGCATTCAGCTGTGGGCCCAGAGACAGGCTAACCACCTCGGTCCCCACCCCCAACTGGTGGAGTACTGGGACCGGAACGTCTGTCACTAAGAACAGCTGCTACGGGACCTACAGTTGGCGTAATGGCTGTCGCTGGACTCCCAGGTCCCAGTGGCTTAAACTCGCACGCCCAAGATCCCGAGAGAACGGAGAAGAGATTGCGGCGTGGCCATCCCCCCTGGACGGTGATTTCTCTCTGGTGAGCGCACACACCCTATAGCAAAATCTCTCCCCCACCCAAAAAAGAACTGCTTACTAACAAGCCCAGCACCCTGAGCTCGTCTTACCTGGGGAAAAAGGGGCCTCTCTTCCTTAACCTTCTTCACACAGTCGGCCACCAGCCTCTTCATTGCCTTGGGGCAGTTCTTGTACAGCTTACTGAGATCCGGAGAGGCATACCCTCGGCCCACCATGAAGATGATCTAGGGGGAGCACACAGCTGAGCACTGGGTGGGGGCCACAGGAGCGCCTCGCGCCCTAGTGCTTGGACTTGGAGGGGCTCTGAGCCCGTGCAGACCTACCTGATCGCGGTTGTTGATGTGGGAGTACGGCAGCTCCCCCGTCATCAGCTCGTACAGCACGATGCCGTAGGAGTAGACGTCAGACTGGAAGCTGAACGGGTTGTTATCCTGCATTCGGATCACCTCTGGGGCCTGCAGGAACGAAGCGCGTTCGTCACATGTGAGGGGCCCCACAGACATGCCCAGGGGCGGGGCTGTCCCTTCCATTACTTATGACAGTCCGCTCCTTGGCCCTGGGCGTGTCCCCCGAAGGACTATGTCTCAGCCACGGCTAAAGGTGGCCCGCTCCTCCCCATGCTAAGCTGAGCAAGGGTTCTGGCCTCCAGCCTCCTTGAGGACATTCACATGGACCCCAGGCCGTCTGACAGTAGGGGACACGGCAATGCTTTAAGTCTGCACGTGGAGTTCCAGGGCGCTCCTTCCCCAGGGAACCCAGCCTGCTCACCATCCACAGGACAGAGCCAGTGGGCTGTTCCACCTGCTGAGAGCCACTCCAGCGCGACTTCACTGTTGCCAGGCCAAAATCTCCAATTTTTACTGTTAAGCCTTCGTGGAGAAATATATCTCAATGCTTGTTAAGGACTCTGGTTTTCAAAAAAGGGTCAGTTCTGAAAAACTTCCCATTATAATACAGTGTCTATCTCTTCCCCTCCCCTCTGTCCCAGCCTTCTCTACACTGAATTTGCTAAGGTTTTTGAAGTTTTTAGAAGTACTTTGGACACCCACCTTCTTCCAGGAGGCAGGCTGCGACTGCGCCCACCACCCACCCAGCTTCTGTCCCCTATTCCCACCTCTAGGTGCCAGGCTCCTTGCCTGAAACCCCGAGACCAAGCAGAGGCTGCCCGCTACTCCCCAGAGGGCCAAGCATGGCCTGACTGCTCAGTCACTACTGCCCTCAAAGGACCAGCGGGCCCAACAGAGGGTCCCCTGCGGAGTGCTGAGTGCTGGCCTAAGGGTGTGTCACTAGAACAGCACCCCCTGGTGACTTCAAATGAGGACGAGTGTTTCCTCCGGGGAAAGTCAGGCAGCTGTGCCCAGGAATTCACACCTCCTTAAATCTGCGGTGTCCACTTTAGTGGTTGGTGTCCACTTTAGTGATATAACAGTCGGTGGCCAAAAACCCACCACTGAAAGGTGTTCATGCCCCAGACACGTGCCCCAAACAGGCTGCAGTCCATAATCCAACTCCGCCACAACTACCACGCCTCCCGCTGGCCCAGAAGTGAAGTTCAGCGTCCTGCCTTACAGCTTAAGAAAGACCATTCTACAGTCTATAAAAACGCACTGCGCCTTGGGAAGTGGAAGAGGTTGTTTCTAAAAGTGACCACTAAGAAAATGACTTAAAAAAAAAGAGAATTATTCATTTAATTCCATTTGTTTTTATTATTTTCAACTTGACCAGATGTTGACAGAGAAGGAAAGAAAGCGAGAAAGCAAGCTGCCAGGTCTGGGACTCAAACCGCAGTGGCTTGTGGGAGGGAGTCCAGCTCCTTTAACCACCACACCACCTGGCAGTCCCCACAAATCACTTCTAAATAGTCAAAAAGAATGTGTGGGCCAGCTCCGTGACCTAGTGGCTAAGGCAGCTGGATGCCGCACAGCCAACAGCACAGACCCAAGTCCCCAGCCAGTGGCTTCACACACGGGGCACATGCGATGCATGCCCAAACTCCGGACGGGAGGGAGACAGAAGGGGTTAGAGATGACCACTCCCCACGGGAGGGTACCTCCTTCCCCTCCGGGAAACACATGCTCCCTCTGGCCACAGGCACTTCTGGTAGTCACTGGGACACATGCCTTGCCATCACTCTTGGCAGACACACCACCAGAAGTGCGGAAGACAGAGCCTCGCTCCCCAGCCAAGCTCAGCTTCGTGGTGTGCCGTGCACGAAACCAGGGCCGATTCAAGCCTTACCTACACGTGACGCTCAGCTCGTGGAAATCACACTTGCTGAGACAAACTTCAGAAAGAAAGAAACTTTTCTAAGACACTACTCTCGTCCCGACACAAGGTGGGCAGAGGCTGCGGGAGAGCACGCCAGCCCTAAGGCGCGCCTGAGAACGTGGAAGGACTGACTTGCTGACTTCCGTGTCTTCCTGAGCTGGGCCTCCTTCCCTAAGAAGATATCCCTTGACACCAAAAGCCACTTAGGATGAAAACGCTGCCTTCTGTTTCCCCACTCCCAGTTCCCAGTAACTGAACAGTCAAACCAAAGGATACTGTTGGATTTCATGTCTCTGTGGATGATGTTCTTCGCATGCAAATAGCTGTGAAGGGAAAATACATCTGGTAAAAACAGTCTGAGGGACATGAGTGGAAAGCAGTTTCAAACTAGAGCTAAGAAAAGCCACCTTGCGGCCTGGCTCCTGGTGAGGAGTTACATACAGGACTGGCCCTGGCTGGCCCGACCTGGTCCACATCACTCCGTACCAAGGCCGCACCACAGTTGCGCTGACACCTCCCTAAGCACCAGTTCGTAATTCCGATAGCCCAGTGTCCATCTGAGTACCAGCGGGCTGTCGCTCGGGCACAGAAAAGAGCGAAGTACTGGTGCGTGCTACCAGCCGGGTGCAGCGTGTGAGCGGCGAGGGGAAGCAGCCCAGCACAGAACACCTCACCTCTATACACTACATTCACATGCCGCAGTTTATAAGAAATGCACAAAACGGGCAACACTCAGGGACGAAGGGAATCAACAGGTGTCAGCATGGGGAGGTGGGTGGGGATCGGCTTGCTTTCTGGGTGATAAACACGATCTAAAACTAGGTGATGGTGATGGCCCACAACTCTGAATATTCTAGAGAACTGCTGAGTATACACTAAAAAGGTTGAATCTGAGGGCCAGCCCATAGCCTGGTAGTTAAAGGCACCAGATCCCACATGCCCACCCGGACCAAACTCTGGCCACAGTGGCTTGAAAAACACATGTTTACATGCTCAGGATCCCAATAGCATGGAAAACTGGAGAAGGGACTGTGGCATGACCATGGCCAGTGTGGGGTGCTCCTCCCTGCCCCCCACCTCTCTGACGAGTTTATGTGCCCTCTGGCAAAAAATTTTATTTTTTAAATGAATTTTATGGTGTGTAAACTACATCTTGGAGCCAGCAAGTAACATGGAGGTTAAGGCACTAGATTCCCACATGGCCAACCACAGTTCAAGTCCCAGACCCAGCAACTTGAAAATCATGCCGGTAGATGTGTGTGCCTGCCCAAAATCCCAGGAAGAGAAGAGATTATGGTTTGGCCATCCCTCCAGGGGGTGATTTTTTTCACTTTCTCTGTCTGTGGAAGAGCCAAGATTACCTTTAGGCCTTCTCTCAGAGGGAAAGAACTGCCCAGAAAGCGACAGCATGTGTGTACACACTGGGGGATGGGCCATGCCTCACACATCCCTGGGCAGGCTCAGTCACGGCTGTCCAAGCACAGGACCTGTCCCTGCCACATTCTCAGGTCTCAGAGGAATCGAGGGGTAGCAGCTGGAGTCTGCACCTGAGCCCCCAGGGGCAGCCTCCCTTGGGCAAGGACTTGCGCTTCTCGTTCCTCATAACCGAACCCTCCACCCCAGCACGGCACAGCGGTTCACTCTCCGCTGTGCAGATACCACAGTCACTTAAGGACTACGCTGTCCTCTGTCCCTGGCTGTAGCGGAGGGACAAGCTGGAGAGTGGTCGTCCCATCTACTCACTCCATCCCCTGAGCCGTCTGCCGGGCAATGTCAATTAACTGGAACATCTGGAACTTGGTCTCCTGGACATGCAGGTGTTTGTAGAGGCTGCTGCCCTCACACCACTGGGTCACGATGGCCAGGTTGTCTTTCGTCATGTAGCCCATGAACAGCAGGATGTTCACATGCCGCGTTTTGCTGGGGAACGGGAGGAGAGCAGAGCCTCAGAGAAGCCACTCTGCCTGGTCTGCACAGGCTCTGTCCTTGCCCCACCCGGGTTCCCCGGCTGGGCGAGGCTGGCAAAGCTGTGGAGTTTAGCATGCTCAGAAGAGGGTGCTCCCACAAACAGGGGCTCTCTGAGGGGCTTGACGACCACTAAGTGGGAGAAGGAAATGTTCTTCTGATCCTAAGGGAGGGGTGTCTAACCCAGGAGCTCCACAGTGAACACCAAATGACCTCCAGTCCCAGCCACCATGCAGCCCCTTACTCCGCAGTCCCTGGACTCCCACCCCAAGCCTCACCACTGCAGGCGGCCGGCCAGACCAGCTTCTACTCACCGCAGGACGGCCACCTCATTCCTGAACGCCTGGAACTGCTCCGGAGTTGGGTCGACCACCTTTAGGATTTTTACTGCAACGTCTCCTGCAAATCAGTTTACAGTAGGTGTACTCAGATGCATGGCCTTAACTTCATTTTTAAGTACCCTAGTTTTGAGGAGATATAGTTAATCACTTATTCAAAGAATCACACACCAACGCAGGTGGAACAAATCTGGAAATTTCCAAATAACTCAAGTGGCTGAAAAAGCAGAACTGGTTAACTTCTATCTACCTCTATACCATACCCTTGAACAGGCTTGGTTGAAACTCTTCCTAGTAACCCTGACAGCCCCAGAGGTTAGGTTACGTGTGACAGGTCAACAGTCTTGGTCTATGGGGATAAAACTGGCATGTGAGTATGACAAGCCTAGCAAATACAGAACCCTGGGGCTGGAGGGTTGGTGTAAGCAGCAGGCCCTTTAACAACCTGTTGATGCTAAACTCAGCATATGCATTCCAATGAGACCTGAGATGGTCCCTTGTAAAATTCAAAGAGGAGGGACCAGCAGATGGCATAATGGTTATGTCACCAGTCTGCCACACAGTTGGCTGTGGTTTAAGTGCCAGACCTGCCGACTTAAAACTCACACCAGCACATGTGCGTGCGTGCCCAAACTCCTGAGAGGAGAATGGAGGAGAAGGGATCATAGTGTGGCCATCCCACCCCCCACCCCGGGTGACTGGCAACCATTCATGCCCTACCACAAAAGTCTCTCAGGAAAAAAAATAACAATCAGATGGCACAGTGGTTATGTCACTGAACTCCCACATGGCCAACTGTTGTGGCCGACCACAGTTCATGTCCGACACCCAGTGGCTTGAAACTCACACTGGATGTGTGTGCATGCATGCCCAAGATCCCAGGAGGAGAAGGGACTGCAGTGTGGCCACCCCCGGGGGGTGATTTATCTCTCTCTCTCTGTCTCTCTGACGAATGCATGTGCCTAAGGAAAAATCCTCTACAAAACAAAACAAAAATTCAAAGATGTATATTGAGATTATGCTTCTCCTTCTATACCACTAAAACGTGAACCTAATAATCAGGGGCAGCAGGTGGTGTGGTGCTTAAGGAGGCTGGACCCCACATGGCGCAGACGGCGTGGTTTGAGTTCTGGACCTGGGAGTGCCGCATGGTCATTAAAAGAAAAAGTAACCCTGGTAATTAATACTGGTTGCCTGCTCTATCCTAGCACCGTGTTCACTTCCGTCTCCTTTAACCCTAACGACTGCCCTATGACATCAGTACTCTGGCCCTCATTTAAAAGACGACAGTCACAGAGTTGAGTCACTTGCCCACGGTCAGCCAGCCAGCAAACAGAAGTGCTGAAGCCAGGGTCAGAACCCCAGTCTGACTCCAGCACCTGTACCTCTACCCAAAAGAACAACTGAGGCTCAGGTGCTGAAATGCTAGTCTCTAACTTCAGAAAAGCCAGTGATCAAATCCACTTTGTGTACAGACTGACATGCTTCTTCCGAAGATTTTTTTTTTTTGGAGAGATTTTCACTGTAGGGCGCATGCGCTCGCCAGACAGACAGAGAGAGACATAGAGACAGAAAGCGAGAAATCACCCCCCAGGGGGGATGGTCACGCCGCAATCCCTTCTCCTCCATTC